GGTCATTGGTGGGCTCAAATTTAAACGAGGGTTATAATTGATCCATTTCGAATAACACAAGGGTATTATTAGACTCATTCTATAAAGGCAGGATCATTTTTGAACTCAAGTTTAAACGGAAGTTATAATTGATCCATTTCGAATACCACAACTCATTTTTGGGCCTTTTCCATATTTTGTCCTCGCATATAAATCTCTAAAAGGCTGAACAACAACGAGAAATATGAAATACGTACCCCAAAAGTCTTCGACAGTCGAAAAAGTGTAAACATCACGAAAGGAGCTTCCCCAAGCAGCCTGTCTAGATTTAGTCATAGGATTATCAAACCAAAAAGTCCAAGAATGTTCTAATGGGTGTTTCGCTATGATTTCTTTTCCCAAATACGACGCCGTATCGTCGGATTTTCCCATTATTTCTCATTCCTCAGGTCCATCGTCCACCACCTCTCCTTTATTCACCTTCAAGTTTTCAGCTTCCTCCGACGTTTTTGCTTCCCCTGCCATTTTGGTGTTATGTACTTGGCTTTGGTGGGAAATGGGTATTTAAATAGTTTTTTCGTTCTAAGACTTTTTTTCCAACTTTAGACAACCAAATTAGTCCCTTAAGTTTCTTCTTTCTTTTTTTTGGCCCTTAAGTTTGGACTATAACTTAAATCAGTCTTCATCCGAGATGGGAATTATAATACCACAATAAAATATAGGATTAGTTTATCACACGTTTTGATAGAATTTGTAATTCCTGAATTAGTAATCCCAAAGTTGTTTATACCATAATTATAAAATTAGCCTATACTTTTTTGCTTATCTACTTTAGTCTATTGTGTGTCAAATTTGAAACATCTTTTCACCTATTAGCAGGGTATTAAAAAGATTTGTGTTAAGAACTGATTTGAGAGTGACATTCATATTTATCAATACATATTTAAACGTTGTTGGGTGAATTAAAGTGAAAAAAATAATATGTTAAAAGTTATGACAAATTGATGAATATGGTTTGTTGAGGATGCCATTTTTCAATTGTGATAAAAATTGAAGCGATTTTTTTGGTGAGTTGAAGCTCGTATATAAGTTGTGGAGAAAAAATAAAAACGAAAAATGCCAACTTAGATTTTATTCTTTTACATCTTGTTTGGATGGTTGTTACCTATTGTATGGTATCGTATTGTTACTTTAAATACAATATTTGTTTTGATACATCAAAACGATACAATACAATACGATATGATACATTATGAAAACGATACATAACAACTATTCAAACAAGTTGTTAGAAAAAGAGGCAGGACTAAAACTGTCAAGTGGCAGCTTATCATATGATAGATGATTGTACAAACAGAGCTAATGTCTATAAACTTTCCAGTCCAGATTCTGTTTCTTGCATTCCCCCATTGTAGCAAGAAAACTACACTGTATAACGATTCTTGGCACCTCTGCCGTGCCTCTCTGCGTCTTCCTGCAAAAGACATGAGTTTAGCAAATTATGAGAAACTGATTTCAAGGCATACCATAAATAAGATGCCATACATGAAATATGAAGTCAATCGAGTCGCTGTAATCCAGAAACTCCTTCCATTGCTTACCAATGCTAACCTGCAGAGAGAAGTTTCAAGAGAACCTGGTGAGAATTGGTTAGTTTATTTCCCGCGAAAATGCAGTTCCACGACTTGTTGTCTTGTTCTCTGTTTTTTTCCACTTCTTGTATTCAATTCTATTGATTTTTAATCTAACAATGAACTTCAGAAACTTGATTTCCATGTTAAAAATCTGAAAGACTTTCTCTGGTGAAAGGATTTTCGGTGTTTTCAACTATGGTTATTTATTAAACCCAAAACATGATGTCAAGTACTATTAACATAAAAATTAACAAACTGGTAATAGTTGAAAGGATTCAATATTGTCAATGATGCACAAAAGGGGATCCACTTGCGAAATTAGACTAAAACGGCCTGGTATTTCAAATGGATGAGGCCATCAAAAAAGGGGGAATCGGGGAACGTCGACCACTATATATTCTAGCAGAATAAGGGAAGGGGGTGACAGAAAAAGGTATTTTATCAAACATAAAATAAAACTTAACCCTTGGGACCACCAAGGGATTCCCTATGCCCTTAACCAGAGGTCTCGGGTTCGAGCCCTATGAATGGAGAAATATATAATAGGGAGCGTTTCCCCTTTAAGAAGTCCCTATGCGGCACGAATTCCGATTAGTCGGGCCAGTGAGTACCTGGTACCAGATGGTACACCAAAAAAGAAAATACTTAACCTTTGGGATAAAAGAATTGCAAAGACTTTTCGAACCGGCTGCAGATCTTGGAATGATGCCAAAATCTCCTAATAACACTAAATACTTAGTAACGACATATCAAGCAGGAATGCAACAGACTATTTGACAACAATATCACTGCTTCACAGAAATAACATCCTACACCTGGACCAGTCCGCATCATTATTTTTTCCTCTGTAAGTTCTCTTCATCCAAGCTTCACATAACTCAATTGCCAATGAAGCAATAATTTATCGCAGACAAATTGGCACTTTGCTTCATCCATAAGCATATTTCTTTTGCTTCCAGCTTTTCATGAAAGTAATTCACTATCAAAAGCTAAAAAGTTTGACAACTGTGCTATATGCCTATATATCTGATGACTTCCCCTCTAACTTCTAATATCCCCAATGTTACATGTATGTCATAGGGTACTATACATCAGTTTCTAGTTGTCAAAAGAAGTTATGTCAGGAATGAAACTAATACACACACA